GCAGGCAGACAGACAGACAGACAGACAGACAGACAGACAGACAGACAGAATGAGGGAGAGACAGTCAGGAAAAGGCAGGCAGACGGACAGATGACGACTATGACAAACACCAATACTACTTGGAACAAGAAAACTCTTTCAAACAACCCCAGTTTAAAAACACCTTATTTGGGGGATCCGAACCAGGCCCACCCACACTAATGGTTGGCACAACAAACCAAGTTAACACTCCTAAGCAAATGTTTGTTGTCTGAATTTATCATTATGTAATATACCATGTATTAAATAGTTAAACAGATGTCTCTTGAGAAATCCAATAAAAATTTTCTTAGAAAAGAGCTCTCTTTTTGTTTTGTTTTAGTAGAGAGTTTACGGCGCTCGCAACTGCATAAGGTCATATGAGTGCCAGAAGATTAGAGGTGTTACAAGAGAGTAGCAAACATAAAAAAGAAGAAGGGGAGATAAGGACGATAGATGTTTGATAGGAAAGAAGAAGCAGACCACACTAGAGCACCCGCCAACCACCCGCCGAGCTCTCTTTTAAAAAGAAATCCAACTGAGTACAGTTTAGTGGAGATGATGCTTTTACCAACAGAAACATCACAATCATCAATCATCACCATGAATGGGAAGCACACATTATTGATTAGGCATAAAAATGATTTATTCGATAGGAGTTCACTGTGGACACAAAAACTGTACAAATGTATTTACAATTGGAGTACATAAAGTATCAAAATAAGTTGTGGGAAAATTTGGTCCCTTCATGGATAAATGACAGCAACATACAAAATACAGGAATGTCCCAAGTTTATGCAGCTTGCTGACAGCAACATACAAAATACAGGAATGTCCGAAGTTTATGCAGCTTGCTGTTTGTCATAACATATGTAACAAATTTCCATATATCAAAAAAAAAGAAAAAAAAAAAAGGTGAGTCAGTGCGGCTGAACCTAACTTCCCCATCATTAAACTCCATGGAAAAGGAGCTGACAAGAAAACCAGCCATATTTATTGCTTAATGTTGCTTGAGAAGGTGGAAAATAATAAAAAAGAATGAGTACCATTTTAAAAACTAGATGACACCTTGATATAAGAATAAAATCAAAATTTTTTTTTTTTAAATAAAGAGACTGCCCCCCCAAAAAATGAGAGGGAGATTGATTGTTGTTATCCACTCAGAAGCTCGAGGGTGTTTGCTTTTCAGCCCCTGAGCATTCATCATGATTATTATTCTAGTTTCTAGTTGTGGCACTATATTGAACCTATAAAAATGAATAATCCTCGTTAAAAAATTGGCCAGAACTAGCATAATTTCTCTTTTATTTATATTGCATAATAAATAAATGTCACATTTCTTCTTAGTCATTTCAGCAGCTACCCTTTTGTTCCTCTCTTGTACATATTTTCTGTTTAATGATAGTATTTCACAATGTTTAATCACTTAAATTGAACAGAAAACATATGTGAGGCAGCGTGGTGGAATCAGGCTCTCGTCAAAATAATGAAATTGAAGGAAACAGCAGTTTTCTCCCTGCTTAGCAATTTTTATCACATTTTTGTTTTTTGGCTCAACACCTTTAACGTCCATGTACAAACACATTCCTTTGAGGATTTCACCGAAAACGTTGATTAAAGGCACAAAAATATAAATTTACAGTTTCCATGGACTCTCCAGCTTTGGAATTTACCAAGCTTTGGCAGCCATTTTCTCGCTAATTTTACCTCTTAAACCAGGTGACCCCTATCTGCTTCAATCCAAAATATCTCCACTTCTATTGAAGATGGAAGGGTAATTTTTTCATTGAAAGCAAGACGAATGAGCAAGCTTTAAAATGATACCAATAACTCAATATGCTGAAAAATTGACGAGAGCCTGATTCCATCACGCTGCCTCACATATACATGCTCAGAAAAGAAAGAAAAACAAAAGGTGAGAAAGGTAAAAAGTTTTCTCACCAAGTCTTTATGGCAGGAGCAACAAACAGCAAACATTTTTTTCTCCTTAAAGTATTCAATATAGATTGCGACTGCTGAGATACTCATTTTGTACATAACATCTTTGGAATTCCTCTTCTTACACTCGTCATCAATCATTCTCAATGGACATTTCTCTCCCGCTCATAATCAAGTACAGTCAGTGAGCTCAGGCTCTTGCGCAATTTCAGTACAAAAACAAAAAAAGAACAAGAAAAAATATGTTTATTCACAATGCTTATGATCAAGTTTGCCTACATATTTTACAGAGACGGATCGAGTACACTGAACAAATCACTTTGCAGTAGGCAATGAAAGAATGAGGAATCAAAAAATGATCAGCCATATATGCATTCAGTACTCGCAACTTAACATGAGAAAATGAGAAGGGATGAGGGGCAGGAAGGATGAAAAAAGGAGATGATGGCGCTGAAAATAATTACACACTCTGATTTCTAAGGCATATTTACTTGTCTAGAAACTACCAATTAGGACATGAAAGCATATATTTTTATATACAAGATATGTAAAATGGTTCACTCTCAACGTTGAAACCTGAGCTCTTCGAGAATTGTTCACCGTTTTTGGGCGAAATGACCGAATGTATAAGAAGGAATACTTTTTTAATGTTAAAAAAAAAAAGAAATTTATTTGGAATTGACAGAACTTGGTGCAATAAATTTGGCACTGGAAAAACAATACACTATTCCTCTACTGTGTCTAAGTTATGATATGAACGATTAATACAAAAAAATGTCCACATACCAAAAAACTAAATAACTAAATAGGGTTGACTACGAACAGACAGGAACTCTTTAATTTTGAAAGTTGGTCTTTTGAACACCAAAACAATGCACGATGAAGAGAAAAATACTCTGTACGAAGGCTGAACATAAATGACATCTTGAACACCAAAAATAACAGGTGAAGGACACAAAATACTCTGTGTGTAATTCAAACATACTTGCAATGACCATTGTTCTCTCTTGAGTACTGTTTTCATAAAACTGCTGTCATTATGTCTAATAATAATACATTTCACAAAGAGTATTTTCACTCACTAATTCTTAAGATGACTGTTTACTATTGTAGAGTCTAAAACTAAGTCGCTGTCAAACTGACCGGTTCTTGAACTGTATGTCCAACATGAACTTTTGCAACTGGTATAACTAGCTCATTTCACTGAGGTTATATGTGTAAAAGAAGATTTGCTGGCTCTGAAATAATTTCAGCAAGTCTTAAGTAGGCTACTGCATCCTCCATCAGCAGATTGTGGATTTAATCTCAGGTAGAAAAAAGGCTAACAGATGGCTCTAATACACTGGAGCTTGTCGTAGAAAAACAATAATTAATACCCTTTCCACCAGGTGAACTAATAAAATCCTACATCAGCTAAAGTTGATATATGCTCTGCTTTCATGAGTCTTCGTAGGTCTTATATTAATTTTGTCAGCAGCATGTATACAGCAGTCTAAGGCAAGCAAATCTTCTCTACAGTGAAAGAGTAAAGGGCGTAATATGCTGTGACCAACTCTTGAGGGCCCAACATAAATCAATTCTACTGGGGTCAGATTCTTGACCGTGGCAATGTGATGATACACACTGAAGTGCTGCGATGCATTCTATTTACCCAAGAATGAAAAGCCCACTTTTAGACAATAGTACATTTAATTAAGCTGCCTAGCTTTGCATCGAGGGACAACAAGTCATATGGAGAACAACATCATCACATAGAAAGTTTAAAAAATTAAACCTGGTCAGTGGCAATCATTCACTCAATCATCCATATTCCATGCTAGTATAATCATCGTTAATTCTTTGACAGGGTTAAACCGGATTAATCATCTCTAAATAAAAGTCTATCATCAGGGAGTTTGCATTTCATTTCTTACTACTATAAAAAAAAAAAATTAATCCAAGTTTTACTCTTCAGCTCAGCTAACTGAAATCTCAGGAGCATAAAAATATTCAATAAATCTGACTTCAAAAGTTTGTTATATTATGCCACGGGCAAATATGGCAGAAGTTGTAATATTAAATATGTTAATTTATATATACTCCTTGTTGTAAAAAAAATGGTTTCAGCTGTAGTTATGATATCAATTCTTGGGACATTGCCGAATGCCTAAGGTGACAGCCTTGGAGAGAAGGCTTGCATTCAAACATTGGAGTAGCGAAAAATTCAACTATATCATGGAACAGTGGCACATAGAATTTCAACATTTCATCATAAAGAAAGAGAAAGATATTCTATGGAATGCAATGAGTAGAGGATACAATAAACCTTGGCAGTATGTACTTTGGTCTGGATCAATAGAGTAGAACATACTGATACAAACGCCGTGAATCTTCAAACAATTTTCCTTGAATATACTACAGCAACATACTACCACGGTACAAAAGTGAAAACAAGTTCAGATCTAGAGAAAAAAAGTCATGCCACAATTTTATGGAAGTCCCCTGTCACACTCTCTGTAAAACCGAAAAAGGTTAGGAACGATTTCCAGATGCAAGTGTAGTAACTGTAGTGAAACAGCAAGTGAAACCTCCAGTAACAGAGTTATGGTACAAAACAAATGGTGAAGGGCACTTAGAATTACAGTAGACCACAATCTGCCAAAGGCAGAAAGGATGGAACAATGGAATGTTTTAGCGACATCACAAAGACATTACAACAGGATGATGCAGTTTTACGATGGAATGAGAGACAAGAAAGAAAAAAGAATAGAATATTCCAGATTGAGCATTGAGTCAGAATAGTGAAAGGATAGACTAAAATGATAAGACTTCTAAGAACTGGTGGTTGTAGAAAGGATAGAATGCTTTGAGAAATGCAACAAACAAATGAAAGGAGGGACTACCTAGCTCGAAGTAACAACCTCTGAACAATAAAGACAGATAACAGGAACAAAGCAATGCTGGCTCCAGCTTGTGCGATATTCGCTGCGTTGAAGTAGGGGCAGTACGGGCACTGGTAGGAGCCGCACACAAAACAAATATTCATCAGAAACAGATTCCGCGTCGTGTACATTGTAGTGTTGTGCATGCCTGAAATTGAAAGGAAGTCAAAATGGGGTCAACAGCTATTGCCAGACAAAGTAAAGATATGATGGTCTTCTATACATTGTAGTGTTGTGCATGCCTGAAATTGAAAGGAAGTTAAAATGGGGTCAACAGCTATTGTCAAACAAAGTAAAGATATGATGGTCTTCTAAAGGAAAAAAAAACTTTAATTCACTTCATTCTCATCCTCAGTGATAAATAGTAACAAAGTAGCGTTTAGCATGTCAGCATATTAATTTACATAATTACCTTCACAGTAAAATCACTGTACGGTACTACAGAGCTGTTTAAAAAAAAAAAAGAAATTGAAGGAGACCCTGCAGTGGGAGGTAGGCCTATCAAGGGAGACGAGAAAGGGGAAATGGAGAACCTGTACTGTTGTTGTCAGTGGCGTATAGAGCCCGACTAGATCAAAAGAGACATTTAAAAGGTTGAGCACAAGTTAACCTATCAAGTGACAGCACTGAGAGAATATGTGGCAGGAAAGAGAAGAAAACAAAAGTGGACCCCTTTTAATATGTCAAGCATAAGTGTATGGTAGGCCATGTAACCCAGCACAACATAGCTATCTATGGGAAGGGGTGTGGGGAAACAGTCAATCAAAAGTTGCAGATAAGGCATTGAGCTATTTTGCCAATAAGCCTTCAAAAGGCAGACAGATTCTTATAATTTGGACAGTGCGCAATGGAAGTTTCAAAATGTTTACTATAAGAAAATACTTATTTGAACGCAACTAAAACCGTGTCAATGAAACGGTTCAGAGCTGAAATTTTTGGGTAACACATCGAAAGACCAAGTCAACTGAAAATATTAACAAAAATGTCATATTCATCAAGAAAAAATAAAAAACAGAAAAAAACAAGAGCTAAGGTTTACCTGGTTCATAGTAGTCATACACTCTCACTCTGTGCTGTATGGTAGCATTGGCAACAGGATACCATCTGTCCGCTCGGAAGTACACACAAGTCTTACTTTCATCCAACTGGGGAAGACAAAAGTTTGCTTACTAACTTGTTCACCTTAGACCCTTGAGCAATTAATGAATGAAACAACAGCAAAAGGTCTCATATCCTCCATAAAACTAATAATCTAAAGTAAATTTGTGAGGCAGCGTGGTGGAATCAGGCTCTCGTCAAAATAATCAAAGTGAAGAAACTGCATTTTTCTGCTGGTTTGTGAATGTTTATCAAATTTTTGTTTTTTGGCTCAACACCTTTCATACCCATGAAAGAACTCATTTATGTGTGGATTTTCTGAAAAACCGTGATTAAAGGTACAAAAAATGTAAATTTTTAGTTACCATGCACTCTTTAGCTAAGGAAATAACTAATCTTTGGCGGCCATTTTCTCACTAATTTTACCTCTGAAAATAGGTGAACCCCACCTCCTTCTTTCGCAAATATCCCAACTTGTATTCAAGATATATGGATATTTTTTTCATCCATTTAAAGACAAGTAAACAAGCTTTAAGATGATACCAATAACTCTACATGCCCAAAAATTGACGAGAGCCTGATTCCACCACGCTGCCTCACATTCTGTTGTTGTTATGAATGTCTTAAGCCTCTATTGATCCAATTTCTACCATGCAGAGACTGGCTGCTTCCACCCTGTCAGTCAGGGCTAACCCAGGCTGTGCAGAACACAAGCTAACAGAAAGATGAAGATACTCAATAAAACATTGGTACCTCTGGTGAATCAAATTCACATTTGCACGCAATGCGAAAAGCCTATACCACAGATTCCTATCTACAATACCTAAAGATACTAATTATTTTCATTAAAATAGTAGAACAATAACTTCAACCTCCCAGAACCTAGTGATAAATCGTAATAAATAAGTAGATCTAATCAGACTTCTTACACAACATTATATATAAGAAATGTGAAAATAATACAGCTAATTTCCATTTGCAAAATCCTACACCAGATCGCGACCTCAGTGCTTTCTTGTCCTATCTCCATTTTTAATAACAGTGAAAACGGTTCATAACAAAGATTGAGCTTAAGAAGTCACATTGTCACTGCTTTAAAAAATGGAGATACGACAAGAAAGCACTGAGGTCGTGACATGTTTTTAAAAAAAGCATACTCACGTAGTCAAAATAGAAGACAACCTTCCGCCCATAAAACTCCGCTCTCCTCAGATTGGGCACCAGTCCAGACTGGACGTAGTCTCGCAGAGTGTCGTTCATCACAATATAACCTGTAGGGATGTCCACCTCCAGCACTGCAAGGCCAGAGGTCAAGCTCTTCTCGGTAAATAGCCAGCTGAGGAGATACATTGGAGGAAAAAAACCGAGTTACAGCAACAGCGAAACATGTCTACATGCAAGACTTGAAGAACGCAAGATGGCACAAAAAAGCACAGAATGTTTCTCCTTTCCCTGCCCCAAACACAACTCACATTTTCCGGCTGACAAAGGCCAAATCAGAAACATGTACCATCATCAAAAAATGATCAGTGATATTCAACAGACACTTACAAAATAGCAGAACTGAAACCACAATAATCCAAGTATACCTGATTGCAGAAGATAAGATAAGATAAGATAAGATACATCTTTATTGTCCAGATCCTGGCACATTGGTTTGGTGTTCAACCACGTGTACACACATACACACGCACACACACACACACACGTACACACACATGCACACACAAGTAGGCTTACAACCACATGCATAATATAAATGAGCAGCAATATAAACAATAATAATCGTAAGCTAGATACACCCTCAAGATAGGCCTACTTTCTAAAAAGCAGGCAGCAGCTTATTAAAAGGGCTGGAACGACGGTACATCTGTTGCGATACTGATCAGGAAATCGAAATAGGTGGAAAAGTAAAGGAAATGCAGTTTTACTTGAGTTGTTGGTAGGTTTCCAAATCCCAACGCACCTGACACAGTTAGTCATCTCCATGATAGAGTCATTCCTTCCACTGAAGTACTGCTCCTCCACGATGAGATCAAAGAACTTGATGGGATCCTTGAAGGGGTCATTGTCCACACGCTGCGGCAGTTTCAGCAGGAAGGGGTACTCCACATTAAAGGTGGTTGTCAACTGTTTCAGAGAACAGAGGAACAAAACACAAATAGTCAATGAGTGAAATAAAGAAAAATGAAATCGTCTTCATCTAGATCTATTGGCATACAGACATAGTGAAAAGTTGGAACAAATATAGAACCTGAACAAATCGCTGCCACTTGCTTTTGAATAAACACAAATAATATTATTCAAAGGACAAGGGTGGAGAAGAAAAAAGGATGAGGAACCATTTCATACTAGCTCTTGTTCTTACCTTCTTGTAACAATCAAGGATACGACATTTAATGACTACAAAATTCATTTACTATAAAACCATTATCTTTACTTTACTTTTCCGATCCAGCGGCCATTTGGGTTCTAGCCCTTCGGTCTGTCGATATGGCAAAGAATTGACAGGTTTTAATCAGCTGTGCTTTGTTGCTGTATAGAGTGTTTCTGATGTCTGGGGAGGCAGGTAGGTAGGTGCTACGCAGGTCACAAAGTGCTGGGCAGTTAAAGAGGTGGTGTGGTACTGTTTCATCCTGGCAGTCGCACAACGGGCAGTCGCACAACGGGCAGTCGGGTGGGGTATCCTTGCGGATCCTATTAAGGTAGGAGTTTAGTGGTATGTGTTGTGTTCGCAGGCGAAATATCATGACTTGTTCTCTTCTACTCAGGGAATTTATTGCATCTTTAGAGTTGGGGGCAGTCATGTGTGCAAATACAGCTCTTCCAGTTTTGCCCATTGCCCATCCATTGAGCCACTGTTCCCTGGTGTTGCATTTGATGATGTTCTTGGCTGTCTGTTGTGATACTGGGTTGTGTGGTTGTGTTTGTGTTGCTCCCTTCTTGGCAAGGGTGTCTGCTCTAAAACCATTATCCTAACAGTCAATTAGATTTTGATTTTGTGCCTAGCAGAAAAGGCACAAGAGGCAGACAGAAACCTTAGAGAGACAGTGCAGAAGTATATTGTACAAGTGGCATCCTCCATTCTTCTAGGTGTGTATGAGAGCACTCGCATATATGCACACAGCACTCACAGTGGACATACATCGTTGGCAAACTGGAAGAGTAGGGGAGTGTGCCTTTTCCAAGTTAGCCAACAATTCCTTAATGAAAGTCCTCTTTTTATGATATAATACAGTGGAATCCTGTTTTAACGAGAGGGAGGGGACCGGAGCAAAATGTCCGTTATAGCAAGATTCTCACTATAAGGGATCCAGTAATAAATTCAAGGGAAACTGTAAAGTAGGCCTAATCTGTGAGTTTGGTGTTCTGATTATTTCCTTTTGCTATCTCCCCTGATGACGATTTTGTTTCAACATGACCTCTAGGTCCTACTTGATCAAAAATCGAATCAGGTTTATTTCTCTAGCGCTAGATCTAGCAATGTGGACGGACAGCTCGGCGTTGGCGATCAGAAAGGAAGGGCTCTGGGCTAACTCGCCCGCTGTGTTTTCCCCCACCCCACCACACCCTGTGGTGCATTCCGTCTGCTTGCACACATCACACATTCGCTCCATCCATCACATTGCTGTGACCTCTCCATCCCCGCATCGGAGAAGTGAGAGGCATGGTAGGCCTTGATAATCTAAACTAGGCTTATGCTGGCATATCACACGATGTGTTCTGCTTGTCTGCGTATGCTACACCCTCCCTACTCAGTCGCTCCGGCCTTCATTGTTGACGCACATGGGCTCTCCCATTCTTTGTTTCGCAAGATCACCAACAAGTTTCTCAACTGGCGAGGTTTTCAGTTATGTATAATTGGCCTATGCACTGTGCACAGCAGCAGCAATATTTCGCTATAACCGACTCGCATGTTTGTCTGATAGCGCTATAGCAGTATTTTATTTACAAAGGTAAAGAGGAGAAAAAAACGGGGTTTTAGAATAGTGTCTTTATAACAGACTTCTCGTTGTTTCAGGACTCGTTATAAGTGGACTCCACTGTATTAAGTACTGTTACCTGAAACACAGATCTTCCTGTCCCCTGTGACACTGGGACGGTGAAGCCGAACACTTTGTTAGATGGTAGCTGTATGCAGAGAAAAAACACAGGAACATAAAAGTAAATCTTTTAAAGAATAAAGTACATCCATTTAGTACAGACTGAATCTTGTCAATACTTAACGAGCAAAAAACTCTCACAGAGTTCAAATTTAATTGGACCTGCCATGGTGATAGATATCACATAACATTCAAAAAGCAAAACTTTTACCCAATCAGATTAATAGAAGCCAATATCACATTTTGAAATTTAGAGCAACCAAGAAATGTTCCTATAATTTGCTGGGAGTAAGTGTTCATCTAATTTCTACCATTACAATTCTTTCTGACGTGCCATGAAATTGAAAGAAAGCTAACATTCATTTCGAGCAGAGAGAGTTGGAAAACCAAACAAAAACAGAGAACACACCCCTAAAAAGAATTTGCACAACCACAGAGGTAAAAAATGCAAAAATCCCCAACCTGAAAGGAATCAAGTAATAGTGCTACACAACAACAATGCTTACAGAATAAGAATGAGCTTAGGACAATAAATAAAGATCATCTCAAATTTTTGCATTAATGCAGTGCATGCTTTAAAAAAGGATAAAATCCATACCTTTAACACTAAGACGCTTAATTTTTCAACAATCCTTCAAACAATACATGTATTTTTTAATGATTTTTTAGTTGTAACACTTTCAATTACAACAATGTAACAACAAAATCTAAAACAGTGTCTTACATTGGCTTTAAACAGTTTGACATAATCCAGTTTCTTCAGAGTCATGGTCTTTGACCACGACGGAGAGGAAGTGGCCTCCACTGTGGTGACAACGTCAAAGACATTCCGGTGAGCGTCCACTTGAGTGAACATAAACAGCGCCTCCATGGCCAGGATGGTGTCCTGCAATTTAAAAAAGAAATAAATAAAATGTGGTGAACTCTTCAGAAGGGAAACCTTATTTGCATTCTCCTATAGCTTTCACCCAATAGACGACCCTTCTGAGAATTTTTTGTATGAAAGAGTTTTTAGTATAGCTATAAAATATTCAAATGTGTGGTATGGCAGTAGAACTTAATGCAACTGAAAAATTGCCTGCATAAGTAAGAATACATAAAGAACACAAGTGTGAACAATTACCCAATGAGAAGTGACACAGAAAAAAACCCCTCCCCTCTAAAACCAAAAGCAAAAGATACAAACCTAACGTTCCCTCAAGATTTACACCTGAGAAAGTAATATGATTTAGTTTCTTTGCTATTCATAAACGGTTTTCACTAACTTGATAAAAGATGAGAAGGTCGAAGTCAACCCGTTTTTCCATAACTTCAAAGGTTGCAAAAAATCTTCAAAACTTTTACAATATAACAAATTTAGTAATATTGTGCGATATAAAAAAAAAACTGCCTCCTCTCTCGCTATTTTTTTCCCTTTATAAATACAAACACTTACCTGAGTGGAGGTAAAGCCTCCAATACTGTTCCTCATGGTATTCAACCAGCTCATCATCATTTCTCTCTCATATTTCTCTGGTTGATTAGTGCTAATGTGAGCCATAAGAGCATAGGCAGTCGACTGCACAGCATATGCGTCGTTCATCAACTCTTGCCTTGGTAGCAAATAGCGCACATTGTTCAAGAAGTCAGACGGATTTTCATACACAGTGTGATCCGCGAAATACACAAAGTCAGCTGAAAGAAGAAGACGCGATGAACAAAAGCATTAGTGTCATGAAAAGACTAATTTGCCTCAATCTTAGAAATGGCAATACCTCATATCTCTTATCATTGCGATTTCATACCTTAAGAGGCAGGATCAATCAACAAATTCTCCTCTCTGACAATTGTTTATGAATAGAGTTGTCATGGAAGAAGCTATGATAATAAGTATAATCAGGGCCCTCTCTCACATACCAATCCACTTGAGTGTTTCAAAAAGAGTCAAAGAAAATGAAAAGATGTATTTCATTTATGATATCATAGTGTTCATTGGCCACTCTAGGCAAGCCTGCATCCAGTACCACATGACAAGCCTTAACCTGGAACCCACAAGAGAAGAGGAAAAGACAAAGGCCAGAGAACACACGACGTTGTGATCTGGATGCATGAGCAGAGAGAAACAAAGATAGCTGGAGATACTTTCCTGAGGCTGTCATGACTGGAGAGAGATTTAGTTTAGTTTTAGTACAGGTTTAACGGTCCTCGTAACTGCATAAAGTCATATGAGCGCCAGAAGATTAGAGGTGTTACAAGAGAGTAACAAACATAAAAAAGAAGAAGGGGAGATAAAGACGATGGATGTTTGATAGGAAAGAAGAAGCAAACCACACCAGAGCACCCGCCTACCACCCACTGGAGAGAGATTGTTGATGGCCTGCCCTCCACTGGCTGGACAACCAACAATGTGGACCAATAACATCAATGCATGGATTGGCCTAAGTATGACAGAGCATACAGCGAAAGCTAGTGACCGTAAGCATTAGTGGGACATAGAACGTCAACCTCCCAGACAGAGATGACACCTCTAGACTCCACAAGATGCCAAAGACAAAAGAAAAAACAAACAAAACAAAAGAAAAAAAACTCCCTTAGCACTCATACTTCAACAGACAAACAAATGCAGAGCATTGTGGGTGGTTGGCGGGTGCCCTAGTGTGGTCTGCTCCTCCTTTCCTGTCAAACATCTATCGTCCTTATCTCCCCTTCTTCTTTTTTATGTTTGTTACTCTCTTGTAACACCTCTAATCTTTTGGCGCTCATATGACCTTATGCAGTTGCGAGCACCGTAAAACCTCTACTAAAACAAACAAACAAACAGAATACTTACAGTCATTCCTCTTGAGTTTCCACAAATCAAAGAAAGGCTGCCGATTTTGGCTCAGACTAAGGGCGTATGTTGCTATGGCTTTGTGGAAAACTTCTTTAATGTCATTGAAATTGGATGACAAGTAGCTCACAGCTCTCCTCCGCGCTGAGTCAACACAAGCTGCTGCATCCTGCAATCAACACAAGAGTTGGAGAAGTGATTTTGATTTCAGAGAGAGAGAGAGAGAGAGAGAGAGAGAGAGAGAGAGAGAGAGAGAGAGAGAGAGAGAGAGAGAGAGAGAGTTTTAATTCCCAACTAATACTAATACATTCTAAGCTAATACCACGAGTAACACTGATGAGACACTATAGAATCATAAAACAATTTTTTACACTGTCCATTCACATAAAAACCTTGACTAAAAGTCTAAAAGTTAAGGTACTTTTGTATTAATCTTACAAAAGTGCAAGGACCAGGCATAACATTCAAGCTGCAGTCTACACAAAAATAAGGTCATGAAAAAATGCAATTATTGTATACCTGAACAACTTAACTGTAAAGCTTGTTTTCCTACAAATGGACAGTGAAGTTTATTTTAAAGTGAAAGGAAGAGCCACATTGCAACTGAAGCCTTGCAAGTCTACAACATGACAATAAATTCCATGACATGAATTCAGACAGAGCACCAATGGGATAACTTGGCAACCAGAGAAAGCAATCATGTCATATGATACAATGAAAATGATACAAACCTCTGAAACCTCCGTTTCGAACAAAGCGATGAGGATATAAGACGTAAGCGGTATTGGGTGAGACCGCAGTTTGTCGTTCTTTATGTAAGACGCAGACGCCTGAGAACAATAAAGAGGACAGATCAATGCAATTATAATTTGACTTAAATTTACTTCCTCTCTTCTAGAATTGCTCTTGGATTATTCTTCATTCATGGCATTATTAAAAAACCCAAAATAACAGCAACAAAAAACATGGCTCCTTTCTCGATACCCTAAGTAAATTGGGTCTTTTTTTAACAGTTATTGCCCCCTCAACACAAACATAATAATCAATGATATTTCATTCTCATCACTAACACAAAATCTCACCATTTTTCGATCATATGTGACATCATTCTCCTCTGGGTCAAATGCTCCAGTTTCATTTTGCCTTGAACAGATGTAGATAAGTATTTTGTTGATCAACTCTCGAGGAATGAACAAATCTCGTTCCCATTCTCCGTAGTTGGCATTGTAGAGAGTCTTTACCACAAAGGCTGTCAACCTGCAAGATAAAATGGCATGACTATAAATGTCTTAAAAAAAGGACAAGTTTCAGTGTAAAACACATCATCACAATAACAAGCACATTCTGGAAAAAATTTGTGTGGCATCATTGTGAAATCAGGCACTCGTCAAATAAGGAAATCGAAGGAACCAGCAATGTCTTTTGCTTCGATGTCATCTCCAGCTCATCGCCAGTGATTATGTTACTTTGAGACACAATCTGTAAATGAAAAGGTAATTTTCTAGTCAGGAATTTTCGGCTTACAGCTCATATTTCACAATACTGGCCCTGCAATGATAAAGAAAAGTTAGATGTTTTGGAAGTCACCAAACTTTGGTTGCCATTTTCTCACCATTTCTACCGCTAAAAACAGGCGACCCCTCTTCCTTTAATCCCAAATATCTAAACTACTATTCAAGATAGATGGGTATTTTTCCATCAAAAGCAAGACAAATGAACGAGCTTTTAGATTATATCTGCATCTCCATATGCCCCCAAACTGACAAGCACCTGATGCCACCAAGTTGTGACCCATTTGTCTGTGCCCAAAAATGGAAGCACCCAAACGCAATTCAGGGATATTTTGCTTAGCGTAGAGAGATACATCTTTATTGTCCAGATCCTGGCACATTGGTTTGGTATTCCACCACGAGTACACACACACACACACACACAAACACACACACAGACACACACACACACACACGTGCACACACATGCACACAGATACCAATGAAAGTATAACAATGTCTTGCAACAGGAGCACAAAGATGGGGATGACCACAAAGCTTTAAACGCTGATGATAATAATGAAATTGGGATGTTCTGTAGCATTATTTGACACAAAATGGTAGCGAATCTTACTTTTGAGCAACTTAACCTACCACAGACTAGGTCTTGAATCATCTCGGAACATCTTGAAGGAGCCCTCAGTGTGATTCATGTATCCCAGAATACGCTGGAAGGCTGTGAAAAAATGAAGTCAAGATCAAATTAGAACGCAGAGAGAATTTAGCAATACTTTCAGTGACCAGAGTATTTCACCAACAAACATTTCAGGCCTTTAAAATTAACAATAAAAAACTCATAACATTAACAGTAAAACAGGCCGTCAATGAGCCACATATTCAGTTCTACTCAACACAGAGAGCAAAAAAGCCATACCTGGTAAGCCTAAAAAATCTTGAGACAACTGGAAATAAATTTACACATCATGACACACAAAAATATACCCATACTATAAAATATTAAGAGAAACCTGAAAAAAAAACTATCACATTTCTAAATCAAGTGTAAATTATTTCAGCTTTTATTTAACTGTCAAGACCAACATGAATCAACTGACCAACATTCATCTCTGCTAATGACCGTTTGAGTTGATCATTGGAAAGCTGCTGGGATGCTTTCATAAACTTGAGAGTCAACAGGTTGTAGGCAAAGTTGAATGTGATCATCTCTCCACCACCATAAGGACGGTACAGCACATTCTCCGCATTCAAATAGTCCTGAAAGAAGCCAGGTGTGACCACATCCCCTGAAAATAACATAACAATGACTCTAGTAAAATGACATAACGATAATAATAATAAAAATAACAATAATAATATACATAAGTATCATCAAAATAAGGGAAACCATTCACGATGTACTCAAACTCTGAACCCAATTCAAGTTCTTAGCCCCACAAAGCACACAACAAAAAGATGATGCTCACATATGACAGAAATTCCTTGTGGCCATTAGCACATACTCAGACGGAGAGTACAACTTTTGCGGCTCAATGTGACAACGGGGAATTTTCATTTAGTGAAAGCATCTATATCCACAAGGAAAACGAAAGAAGGGAAGACTAAAGATGACATGGAGGCGAGCGGTACAAGTTGAAATGGGAAAAGCGGGGACATCATGGAAACTGATAGAAAAGGAAGCACAGGACAGGCTTCGCTGGAGTAATGTTGTTGATGGCCTGTGCTCCACTGGGAGTTAAAAAGGGCATGAGAGAGAAAGAGATCTATATCTGCCCATTCAGATTGATCTTTCAACAGCCATTAACTGGTTTCAAGCTGGGAGAAATCTTGCAAAAAGTGAAAAAAAACCCACAATTATCAACAAACAGTATTGATAGGAGCTACAAGAGCTGTGATGTGCTCTGAAAATGTGTAAAGCAAAAAAGATTTTTCTTAAAAAAGAAAACCATATTGATACGAAGCAGTCACGTTTTCTATGACAGACAATTTCCACATGACGCTTACATAACAACTCTTTAAAAAGAGGGCCGTAAAAATATACGTTGTAAAGTGTCGTAAAAATATACCCTGTAAAGTGTCGTAAAAATATACCTTGTAAAGCACATAGCGCCTACTGTTGAGTGGCAATAAGCTATATAAACGCTATTTATAATAATTAATGAGGTGTACATTTTTTCCCCTCAGTTTCAAGTCCACTCAATGGACCAAGTATTCCAAAATAGACAAGACATACTCTTTTGTTTATGTAAGTGTTTTATAGCGCTCACAACTGCGTAAGGTAATTTGGGCGCGCAGGACACATTAAATATTTTCAGTTGGTAGGAAATTTTGAATTTAGCCGGTGTGGCAGCTGAAGCCTACTCATATCGATTTTCGACCTCCAAGGGATCTATAATGTGCGCAACTTGCATACGAGAACTCTGAGATTTTTCGCCCTCATCCAACAAGGCTAGGTGTTAGATCTTACCTACCATAAGATCAGGGGTGTGGCTGAAGGACAGCAGTAAGAAGAAACATACTCAGACACAAGAAAAGATGTAAAACTTATTAAAAACAAATTTGAGCAGTTAGCAAAAGGAGACCTGCATTAGTGGTGTAACGTGAAGGTTCTTGGGATTCATGTAAAATATGTAACATTGATTCCAATGTGAGGAAGAAGCTTATCTAATTTTTCTGTCTCTGCTAAGATTTATCTCACACATGCAAGGAATCAAAGAACCCATTTTTTATCTAAATTGTGTAGATGGTGTGTGTGTGTGTGTATATATGCGTGTGTGTGTGTGTGTGTGTGTGTGTGCATGTATGTATGAGCATGTGTGTGTGTTTATGTATGAGTATGTGAGTGTGAAGTGAGTGTGTGTGTGTAAAAAAATTTACAATTAATCTTTTTTCTTTTTGACTCACCAAAGAGAGAGGTGGTAGCCACTGGGCTCTGTGGCACATACAAGTTGTATCGCACTTCAGGCTTTCTGAACTGTTCAGGCACAACCACATCGAACTGAGGCATTTGGATGGAGGCATAGCGAATCAGATCAACCAGATACGGTGTATGATAGTAGTTCACCACTCCGTCAGGCTGGGAAAAGATACAAGAAGGTCAATTTTATTATAACTAAAGGGAAACTCCTGAAAAGAAGGGTTTTTAAAAAGTAATCATTTTCATTAAAGCAGTATCAACAAGATATGGTGTATGATAGTAGTTCACCACTCCGTCACACTGTTAAAAGATAAAAGGTCAATTTTGTTATAAATAAAGAGAAACTTCTGAAAAGAAGGGTTTTACAAAAGTTATCATTTTAAGTAAAGCAGGCAATAAAACAAAAAACACACACATAAAATGTCTTTTGCAGTCCTTTTCTCATGTGGAATGGTTGCCGCATACATGAAGGGGCTGAAGCAGGTCATCTCTTTCACACTTGGATGGAACATTGAGGTCATTTACTTGATTCACTCATCTGCACCTCACAGATATGAATAATAAATAATAATAAATAACATTTGTATAGCGCATATCCCCGCTCAACAGCAGGCTCTATGCGCTTTACACTATATTATTACCCCAGCAGACCATAGAACACTCCGAAACATTCTCAGCTTCCCGGGAAGCATACAGTGCAAGCTGCGGATTTCACGCGCTCAAACACTATCAAACTGACAAGATCTTTCTCTGTCTATAGCTGGGTACCCATTTCCACCTGGGTGAAGAGAAGAAAATTTGTGCAAAGTGCCTTTCCCAAGGACACAACGTCGGGCCCCTGACAGGATTCGAACCCACGACCTTACGGTTGCGAGTCCGAGAGCCTAACCACTAGACCACCGACGCCACACGAACACACATGAACAGTTTATCAAGTCCCACCAAGCTTATCCAAGTCAACGCCCAAACATACTCAAACATTTACCATTCTTGAAACACAAAAAGAACACTTACTTTGACAGACATCTTTCCAACATATTCATCTTTCTCCATGAAGCAAGTTGCAGACACTCTGAAGGTCATTATGCCATCTACTAGGTTTATGTCTGGCTTTATAGGCATGTAGATGTCTTTGGATTCTCCTGGTTCCAACTGAAACGAAGATGAAATTGAAAAATTGGAAGATTTTTTTTATGACTAAATGCAACCGACAAACCAAAAAAACCCAAATAAAAAACAATAACAAAAAATGAAGAAGAAGAAAGACGAAAAAAAACCCTGCTTAAATTAAAATCTGACATGAAGGAAAATCACACATCATTCAGGAAATTTCCTTATAAAACCTTTCCCAAGTTTCATTCAAAGTATGACAAATAATTATTGAACACATTTAGTGTACAAAAGCAAAGTAGTCAACATTACATTTCACTGACTACTAATATTTTCAAAGAACGTATTGTTTCATTGTTGTTTTTTCTCTTTAAGATATCCTCTGATGCCTGTATGTTTAAATTGTATTCATGCACAAGAAATGCTCATTAACAAATGTGGAGTGTGCTGACTAAATGAGTTACTTCTGGGATTAGGGCTCTATGGAAATAGATACATCATGCTTTGAGGTGCAGTTTTTATAATTTGTAAGTATGAAATAGCAGAAGGCATTTACTACTTTATGAATATTGCATCAATAACAAACCTAGAAATTTGACCCAAGTGTCGATTTTTGGTCAATATCTCCATTTGTGGATTGTGAGAAGTAACTCATTTTGTCAGCACGCCTCACAAATAAGTTAAAAAAATAATGTGGGAGAAAAAAAGGTATAAAATAAAATACTCTTGATTCAAAAACTAATAATGATAATTTGTTTCTATTTCTTTTAGAACAAACCTTTCTTTGCATATGTACAGATGGCCAGTTCCTGTGTGAATCTTTAATGGTTCATTAAAAACCCAAAATACTGGTTGTCGTTAAGTTAAAAGGAAGCATTTCTACTCACAAAGACAATAGTCTGCTGATCCTTTTTGTGGGTGGTCGGTGTGTAAGAGGTGACGTAGCCCATGTCTCCCACAATGACAAACTCTGAGTCAGGGCCCTGGTGCATGGTGATTAGGACCTGAAAAGTAAATGTCACAAACCGTCAGAAAAACATAGCCCATGTCTCCCACAATGACAAACTCTGAGTCAGGGCCTTGGTGCATGGTGATTAGGACCTGAAAAGTAAATGTCACAGACCGTCAGAAAAACATAGCCCATGTCTCCCACAATGACAAACTCTGAGTCAGGGCCTTGGTGCATGGTGATTAGGACCTGAAAGGTAAACGTCACAAACCGTCAGAAAAAAAAAGTCCAAAGGATCCTGGTACAAATCTGGATATGGTAAGAAGTGAACAACAGAAGCTGGGAATCTATATTTATCTACAAATTTTGTGTGTGAGCATAATGTAAATGTGACTCTGGGTGCACGAAAACTACAAATATGAAAGGGTGCACATAAACTAAAAATATGAATGAATATGCTAGTGCACAAACACAGGCAAACCTGCTCTTACAGCCACCTGTCCAAGACATTTACCTGTGCAAATGTCCACTCATACAAGACACCCACCTATCTAAAACAAATACTTTCTTCTCAACAGTGGGAGGCCGTCTTGGATAATTTTGGCTGTATGTATGCATGTATGCGCGAGGGCAAATGTGCAATGAGTTCATGTCTCTAAGGGAGGAGCTTTTCTAAACACGGTATTGAAGAAAATTCAACAAAGTTCCTCTTCAATGAAAAACAATTTGAACTTTAGGAAATTAAATAAACAAATGATCAGATGTTCGAGACAAAGATCAGTAATACAACAACGATAGTCCGACCAGGAAAAGTACTGACCTCTAGATAGTCATCATCATACCAGTAGTTGAACACTGTGACTCGTACACCAATCTGTTCCCCTCTGATGATGTGTTTTGGGTGTTCTACTTGGATGTACATGTAGCGAGCTGCATCATACTAAAGAACAAAACAAAGATGAAAATCATGAGCAAAAATATGTATGTAAAGTATACCATCCTGTTGTATACATAAATCCAAACATAGAGCAGACAGGGACATTTGAATGGCTCCGTGACTAAAATTATCAAGTGCAACAGCCATTATGTTTTTGTACGCCCTCAAAGAAACAATTTTGTGACTAAAATCTCGTCGTGACATAAGGCTTTGTCATCTGTTGAAATGAAAATGCAAAATGAATAACATTGTCGCTGTTGTTAAAAGTTTTAAAACATTGTCAGCATAAAAAAGACGTATTATACCCTATCCGAAATAATAATTTTTGACACAAGACCGCATTTGATTTGCATATTTAATAATAAATAAAATAAAACAAATGCATTTTGCAATTCCTAGAGAAAGTACAATGCTTAACGCAGAACTTCGAATAAACACTTACCCTGACTGGGTTTTGCATTATACCAAGTCCCAAAGTACGACTAATAGACAAGCCATTGATCACCCAGGACAGAGGGTACTTGGGAACATCCACTCGGAAGTCTACACGTCCATCAGGCCTGCAAATACATTAGAATAAGTTGAATTGGAGGAAGATTTATAATAATAATAATAACAACATATGGTCGCTTTTAAGGACAAGCGGGCTAACACAGATTTCGGGGGGTTCCAGAAATCTTGACCTACAACAAAAGTGGGTATTGCTCTACCTATAGGACAAGTTTGGTTTTATGGGTGTGTATATTTGTTTTGTTATAGAGAAAAACCCTCCTTGTATTTTAAAGAAACTGAACAAGGGGCAAAAACTTTACCTTCGATTTTTCTCAAAACAACAGTTTTCGGGATAGCCCCCTTGTGCTTAAAAGCAACCATATATTGCGCTGTAAAAACATAAACAGAGATCTGTCTGTGCCCTTGTATTAAGCCAATTCCCACACTTGTCTCTTTACCACCATCAAGTTCAAAATCTTCCACAACTGAACTTTCAACACTAGTTTCTAGATCATTATCATTTGAAGAGCCGGCTTCATTGTGAAAATCCAGCAGTATTTTGTGAGGATCTTCAGACCAACAGTTTACAAGCTACTGTTTCACTTCAGACTAAACAGATTGTAACCTTTTTTTTCTAGAAATCTGAATGCTCCTCACGAGCCATATTTCTGTATTTCAGTAACATAGAACCAGCTGATTTACATGACCATATATCTGTTACGAGTCTCCTTGGAATTCAGACTAGTAGTAAAGCCAGTCTCTCATAATAACCCATAAGAGAGTAAAAGGCAAATAACTCCCAAGAATACTGCATATATTCTTTATCCTTCTCCGCATGTTGAGATGGTATCCATTTTCCAGGCCAGTGATCTGTTCTGTATGTCTTTAATACAGAGTTTGCCAGCTATGGGATTAGTTTCTTTTAGAACGTTACATTTTTCTTAGTACATGGAAGTTTACCGGTCATCGTTTGCGATGCTAGACATGATTGAAAGTCTCTTTTATTTAACTTACTTGACAAAGATTTCTTGCCATGCCCAAGAGCTGTTGTCATAAAACCGCATGACTCTGCTCACTCTGTCTAATGGAGATTTGTGAACAGTGCGGTCTTCTTCATACACACCTGTAAATCACATGAAAAAATACGACGTATCACAATCTGGGTTAAGAACAATGAAGTTCACTTGTTTCTCTTGACATATGCGCTGTCTATCACAGGTATTCAAAAGCCACCTAGAAACTACAAATAACTTTTAAATTAAAGCAGACTGTTGATTTAGAGGAAACAAAAATCCACTAGGTTGGCGAATGCTTTAAAAAAAGGAATGTATCCAATAATGAACGTCTATAAAAGCAATAAGATTTGTGTTTTATGTTTACGAGCAGAAGTTAAATGGAACAAACACAGCATATTGATACCCGATGCTCTAGATTTTAATTTGTAACACTAAATATTTTAACATTCATCCAGTTCCATAATTATGTGCATGTGGAAAGTCTTAGAAATAGTAAAGAAAGGTAAATGAGAGTTAAAAAGGAACACTGTAAAACTCACATCCCCATTCGTCAGCTCCATCAGTGGGACAGCCATCAACCTTTTTGTTACACCTGTGCTCATCAGTGTAGCAGTCCTCTCCTATGCCCGTGAAGCACGGGTAGGTGTTCTGAAGTCGGCAGATTTCATCGTCTGCAAAAAGTTTTCAAGACCAATAATATTATTTAGCTTGGTTTTATCAAGACTTGATTATTTTAACTCTTTGTTATCAGGAAAATCATTGGAGAAAGTTAAAAGACTTCAAACTGTTCAAAACAATGCTGCACGTTTTGTTTTATGGAAAAGAAAGCGAGACTCTGCTACACCTCTTTTACGGACATTGCATTGGCTTCTTGTTGAGAAAAGAATTGTGTACAAGTTGGCCACCCTATGCCACAAATGCTTGAATAATAATGCACCATCATATTTATCAAATCTGTTGAGACTGTACATTCCAACTCGCAGTTTAAGGTCATCGGCTGACAAAAATAAATTTCTTTTACCTTCTATGAAACCTTAAAACAATGGGTGAAAGGGCATTTGAATATCAAGGCCCCAATATCTGGAATGCTTTGCCAAGTAGTTTAATAGAGATCAAATCTTTTGATTCATTCAAATGTCAGCTGAAGATATTTCTGTTTTTTAAATTAATAAGATGAATGTTTGGAGTGATTTCCTTTTAGTCAGAAAACGTTTTATTTTATTGTTGTACATTGTATTCTATAGTAAAGCACTCAGAGAGTGTGTACTTATATAAATGTCATTTATTATTATTATTATAAATTTATTATTGCAACTATTAACCCCTTTGTGACAGCTCCCGTACACCGTACGTCCAACATTGTGTGCCAAGATGCCATCCTCTTGTACAATGTACATCCTAAAATTAGACGACTAAGCCAATCGCATGGACCTTACCACATACAGGATTTTCTATCTGCTCTACAATAGCTTTGAATGGAATTTTACCGGAAAATTAGGTGCAGTAAAAGTTGGAAGAACCATACGTCAAGAAGGGGTTAATGATAAACGTAATTTTTATTTACACAGCACCTATCCCTGTATAGCATTAGGTGCTTTTGCCATATCCATATCACTGATGTTAATATACAAAAAGTATTCCTAACAGCAGGACTCTACTTCCCTGAAATCACCTGCTGTTACAGGGGAAGCTTGAAGGAGCATAATTTAAAATCTTTGGGGAATTTATCACAGACAAATTTCCATCAAACCTTTAATAATTTTTTCTCCAGGTGCTAAAAAAAAAGAGAAACATTCTAAAGACTCCACAAAATCTATAAACTTTTATGCATTGGTTTCCAGTTAAACTGATATCAAACTATGACTCTCAAAAGAAACAGCAGAAGAATGAGTGGGAAGTTTTAATATGTCAGCAGATGGCTACGGGGCAAATGCACGTTCTTTTTTAGAATGCACATGTATAACAATATCCCAAAGTGAATAGGCATGAAACATCCGAAAAACAAACCCTTTTATCATGAAGAACACAAAAGGCAAATACTTTGTGAGTATCTTAAATGAAAAAAAAGTTTTCAAAGAGGGGCATACTTACTGAAAAGACGAGGCACCCGTGCATCAGTAAGAATGAGTAGACCAGCACTCTGGGGATAAAAAGTAGAAAATATAATACCTTAATTTCACATAATATACAAAAATCATTACCAAAAATAGAAGAACAATAAATAGCTCACTTTTACTTTTTAAAATGCTATAAAAATGCAAACAATATGAATCTACTGAATATACACACTTTATTTCGAGTGCTGATTTCACTTCTGATTTTTCTGTCTTAGTTTATCTCTTTATCTACGAAGGGGGTTTTCCCCACTATGGTGCAAAACCTGAAAGTGGCATACGCATCACTACAATGGTCATTAAATCAAGAGAAATAAATCTCTTTTGATAGGTCTTCATCTAATGAAAGAACTCAAAGTAAGAGAGACCCACTTTCAGCAATAGTGGAAAATCAATATAACACCTTCTCTTCGTCATTTTAAAGTAATGTGACCAAGCCGCTGCCAGCAGCTCACCGGCACAGCAGTTCCAACCACAAGCCCTTGTGAGTGGCTTGCCAGAAATAAGGAGTTAACACAAGCAGCATCTAACTACACCCCATCATAGTAAAGAGATACATTTACCAGCTCTGACATAAAGTAAAAAAAAAGACAATACTATTGTTCTTATGAATATACTTGTTTACAAAAGTCTACACTGAGATAAGGCTTCAAAACTGCAAGATAAGGATAAGCACAATAATTCGTACAAGTATTAGTGATTTCACAACGGTGGAAAGGGGTGACAAGACCTCTAAGAGACCCCCCCCCCCCAAAAAAAAGACTTTAAAGTGGACGTACAATGAAGCTGGTGTTGGCATCAATTCCGTAGTCCGGTCCATGGAAGAATTTGTATTGGTAATCTGTGTCACTTGTTCTCCACAGATGTCTGTAGCTGCTGTTGGCCGAGTTGTCGTAGGTCATCAGCTCATCAATCAGCTGGGTTGGAACAATTGAAAGTCAAAATTATTGCCCCTTTCTATTGAGGAAGAACATGGACAGACAACAAAGCTGGAACTTCTGTATTCAGCTCCCCCTCGGGTCCTACCAATATATAGATCTAGATGGCTGAAGAAAAAAGTTGCCAAACATAGGGAGATATCCATGATAAGTAAATATTGAAATTATATTTTATACACAATAAGTTTTGGTACAACATTTCATGTTATTTTTTAGACTTGGAATTGAAATCTTTTAAAAGCTGTCCCATTTGAACTTGTAATTCTCAACAACAACAAAAAGTATTGTACAATTGATATAACGTTGTCAAACACAAGACAACATAACAATTCTAATGCCCACCTTGTTTTCCGTGATGCCATCACTAAGGCCACGACTGTAGAGATCAAGTAACATTCCACTGAAAGCCACGTAGGAGCCTGGGTCAGCCTCCGCATTAAACTCAATTGTGTCACGGCTGAAGTCTTTGCCGCGGTTGATACCCAGCCTCACCTGATGGGAACAAATAACAAGACTTAAGTCTTTGAACCAATAAAATTCAGAAGGTGAATTATGCCCATTCAGCATAATGACTGTCACATTTTGCCTGTAACAAAATAGGTAACTAGTAAAACTGAAAACATAAAACGAAACAGACCCGTCAACCACCTACAGGAAAACTCATCAAACTAATCATAAAACATCATAAATAAATCTGCTTGAACAGGAAGATGCACAGGTCATCCTACCATCAGCATTTGCAAATTTTTCAAAAGGTTGGGCAAAAACAAATCTCAAATCAGCTGATTATTTCAAACGATTTCAACAGACCAACAACACGTCCAAACAACGATAATACACACAAACTGGTACCAAACATGAGTGTCTACAGACTATGACACACAGTCTAAACAGACTTGCCTGGTTCTGTCCGGTCCCATTCACAAAGAAGTTCAAAACATCTGTTACTATTTCTTCCGGTTGTCTGATGAAAAACACCACGATTCTAGCAGTCGGTACCATGTCCCGAGACAGAGCTATGGAAAATGTCTTTTGCTTCGATGTCATCTCCAGCTCATCGCCAGTGATTATGTTACTTTGGGACACAATCTGTAAATGAAAAGGTAATTTCAAAGTCAGAAATTTTAGGCTTACAGCTCATATTTCATCATACTGGCCCTGCAAATGATAAAGAAAAGTTAAATCGTTTAAAAACGACAAGCTGATCCTTCAGATTTTGTTACTGAATGTACAGTTGGGAGTATTTATTAAGACTTTCAGATGAGAAACACTACAGCACAAAAATAGTGTCATTACATGCACATGTCTATAAAATAATTTTCACCCATACATTCAAATTGTTATTCATACAAAAACAAGCCAGGATCTAATCCCCCCCCCCCCCCCCCCCCCCTTGCTGTCATGTGTATACATCAATAGCTTGGACTTAACTGACCAACTATGTTATAACGGCTCAAGGCCGTAACGTGACCTTCTTGATAATATAAGGATAACTTCCGTTACTACTCATTCTCACTGAGGTCTTGTGTTTGTTTGTGAGCACGTTTTATAATTATTCGTCAAGCTATAAGCATAGCCAAGAACGTAACACTTGCTTTGTTTTCATGTAACAAAAAGAATGATCTTATCTTGCTTGTGATTTTGTATAAATTAGTATAAGGTAAGAGAGGTTAGAGGTTAAATGTCTGATGGAAACAAGATCTTTCTCTACAATCATTACGACACAAATATAAATTCAAAATTATATCAAAGTGAAAAGTAGATGGAAAAACAAAGCATTCTATAATACTCACTTGATAGTACACCCTTGGCACGAAGTAACTGGTCTTTACATGGAAGATCATGTATTCGTTCACCTGTCAACATCCATATTAGGTCAGTTAGACAGAATCACAACATAGAGGCAAGAGACTGCGGTTTTATTTTTACAACTCACATAGTTCAAACAAATCAAACAAATACAGTGAAATCCTGTTAAAACGAGAGGGAGGGGACCGGTGCAAAATGTCCGTTATCGCAGGATTCTCGTTGTAAGGGATCCAGTAATAAATTCAAGGGAAATAGTAAAGTAGGCCTAATCTGTGACTATGAGTTTGGGGTTCTGTTCATTCCTTTTGTATTTCCCCTGACGATGATTTTGTTCAACATTATCTCTAGGTCTTACTTGACCAAAAATCGAATCAGGTTTCTTTCTCTAGCACTAGCAATGTTGACAGTTCGGCGTTGGCGATCAGAAAGAAGGGACTCTGGCTCTGGGCTAACTCGCCTGCTGTGTCGTCCCCCACCCCACCACACCCTGTGGTGCGTTGCGTCTGCTTGCGCACGTTACACATTCACTCCATCTATCAAAGCATTCTGACCTCTCCATCCTGCACCAGAGAAGTGAGAGGATGGTAGGCTTAGATAATCTAGACTGGGCTGGCCTATCACGCAATGCGTTCTGTTCTGCTTGCCTGCGCATGCCACACCCTCCCCACTCATTCGCTCCGACCTTCATTGTTGGTTCGCGTGGGCTCCCCCATTCTTTGTTTCGCTGGATCACAAACAAGTTTCTCTACTGGCAAAGTTTTATATCATGTTTAATTGGTCTGTGCGCTGTGCACAGCAGCAGCAATATTCCGTTGTAATCCACTTGCGTGACTGTCTGATTGCGCAATAGCAGTATTTTATTTACAAAGATGAAGAAGCTAAAAAAACAGGGTTTTGAAGTTTTAGAATAGTGTCTTTATAACAGACTTCTCGTTATTTCAGGACTCGTTATTAGTGGATTCCACTGTAATGCAAAATTGAACTTTTTATCGAGAAACTCACTGCAAAACTGGAAGAGTAGGAGGATGACAATGATGAGAAGAGGGCGGGGGGTGGGGGGAGTAGGAGAAGAAGTGGGGGAGGTGGAGGAGAAGGAAAAGTAGTAATACAAGAAGAAGAAAAAGGAGAAGGAAAAGAAGAAGAAGAAGAAGAAGAAGAAGAAGAAGAAGAAGAAGAAGAAGAAGAAATGAGAAACAAACTGACATGGAGGTATAGGCTTACCTTTGGATGATCCGTGGAGGTCATGATACTGATGTAGGAGTTAGTCGGGGAGTAGTATCTGGTCGCGTACATGGTGATGGGTTCTGTGTCCCCTCTCACAAAACTTTCGTCTAGGTACACAGGGCTGTTCCCACTATAAGTCTGCCGCTGATCACTGTACCTAGCCTGAATGGAAATAAAATGTAAAACAGCCGTCATCTAGTAGTAGTAGTATAGGGTTTTACGGCGCTCGCAACTGCTAAGGTCAAATGAGTGCGCGAAACACAAGTTGTTTACTTACGCAAAAGTTCACTCCACGATTGGTTAACTAATTGACTTTAAAATGCTGAAATGTTAAAATATTTAAATTCGGTGTAAATATATTTGTGATTTAAAACAACTCTTTTAAGTAACAATAAAAATTTTTAAATAGTACGTTTTCATTTTACAATTTGCCATAAAGGCCAATGTCCTTCATAAAATTCAAAATTTTGCCGTCATCAAATAAATAACATTTAGGTCTAGGTACCTATGGTATTCATGTCAATAAAATCTTTGATTTGATATAAATGAAGTAGAAACAAACACCTTTGCAGTGGAAAAAAGTGATATAAATTCAATATAAAATTCTTAGCAAATTATAGCACTGTTAAAAAGAGTTTGGTTGTGATGAATTGTGTAACCTAAGTGAAAATATTTGAAATTTACATTGAGATAATTTTGCTTAATCCATCAGTAAAAAAGAGGCTTAATAGGGGAAACCTGCATAATAAAATCTTCTATGATTTCGAATATTTGCACTGTTTCTATGATGTGAACATTAAAAATGGAGTAATGACAACTCTTCTGAATCACCAAAAATAACCAAGAAAATAAATTTCACATGGGAACTAAGCTTTAAAATATCCAACACCTTTGTTTTCAAGTGTGGCCAGTCCTTAAAGAGGACATTTTAAGATATTTCTACGATAAACTTGAGCGAAAAATAAGACAGGCAAACAGTAACCTGCAATAAATTCCCATCATATTTTCTAAACATCGAAGTGCAACTTTTGGACTACTTATGAGGGTCCTCCCAACAGCATTTAGCTGATCCCATCTCAATTATTTACAAGTTTTAAGACTCAACCAATAAACAGCAGTATTAAAAATGACAGCAAACATACTGTTATAACCATGCTCCTCGTGTTTTGTCCTAAAGTGTACTCAAATTCTGCTATGCCGTTGACCGGTACCCGAGTCTGTGGCCCAGAGATGCCCGAGCCTGCGGGTGTGGTCACATCGGTCAAGGTCACTGTACCACCACCTCGTACTGGGGTGCCGTCATATTTTGTCACAGCAACCTGAAAACAAAAACAAAACAATATGAAATCTATGAGGTGAAGTGTGGTTGAGGAATTTCATACAAACAGAACTTGGAAATCTATGAGGTGAAGTATGTTGTTTTGGTAAGTGTTTAACGGCGCTCGCAACTGCATAAGGTCATATGAGCGCGCGGGACACACCTAATATTTCAGTTGGTAGGAACTTTTGAATTTTTGCCCGGGTGGCGGCGGAAGCCTACTCTTATCGATTTTAGACTATCAAGGGATCTTTAACGTGCGCAACTTGCACACCGGCCCTCCGAGATTTTTCATGTCCGAGAAGGCTAGGTGTAGATGTTTGCTACCAAAAGATCAGGGGTGTGGCAGAAAGACAGCAGTAAGGAGGAGCCAAGGAGTAGCAGTAGAAAGGCTGCAGAAAGAGTCAGGAGCCCAGGGGTGGAGGCAAAGGAGGTGAGGGGGTGGGGGCATTAAGTGGAAATGAAAGCAGACAACAGAACATTGCTAGAGAGCAGGAAAGGAGGTGAAAGGAGACAATTTTAGAGAAGAAAATTTTTCGGTCGCTACCCGGATTCGAACCCGGTACCTTTAAATGAGAGACCAACACCTGAACCTCTAGGCCACGAGAGCCCCCTTGTAATTGCTATCACAATGAAGTACACAAGAAGTAAAAAATGTCCAAATGACAAGGCCTCATTATCAGTTTTCTACAGATTTGAACTTTAGTTGTCATGAAGGACTAGTTCCACTGCACAAGGAATCTAATCTGTTGATCCTTCAAAATCTCAAGTTGAAACAACTCCAAACTGAAAGGTGACTGGTCATGAGATAAATGATTTTGTTCCTTCTGCTCCACAGAGACGTATGTTTCCGGAGCCTTCATATCATACAGTTTAGACCACACGAGCTGGGTAAAATGGTTATTTGACAAAGCCATTCACAAAAATGTGGAGGACCCAAAAACAGTATCTCTCTCTCTCTCTCTCTCTTGCCCTTTTTTACTCCCAGTGGAGCACAGGCCATCAACAACATTACTCCAGTGAAGCCTGTCCTGAGCATCCTTTTCTATCTGTTTCCATGATGTCCCCGCTTTTTCAATTTCCACTTGTACCGCTCGCCTCCATGTCATCTTTGGTCTTCTTACACTTTCCTTGTCGGTTCCACGTTAAAGCCTGCCTGATGATGCTTGTCGGGGGTCTCCTCAGGGTGTGTCCAATCCGTTTCCATTTCTTCACTTGAATATCTTCCTTTACTGGCCTTTGGCTTGTTCTCTCCCACAGTTAAGCATTAGTGACTCCATCGTACCACTAAAAACAGCTATACAAATATGAAACTTCACAGAAAAGTAGAAAAATGGATCCACTATATATATTCCATTTGACCACTTGAAAAGCAGTGGTGAACTATGCCTGGAACAGTGCTCAGTATATAGCATCAAACCAATCAAAGCAACAGCAAGCTCTGAATAATTTTCAGCAAAGCACTAAAGGGGTTAATTTTTCTTTGTATTAAAGTCCCATTTTCTCATTTCACTACTGCTAAATGAGCTGAAAAAAAGTTATTACCTGATTATAACTACAAATAGCAGATAAGGGTCAAAATTATATTTTCAATCATACTCAAATGAGCTCATCCACCTGAAACGGTTGGCACTTTTGATTCTGTTGGGATAGACTAATACCCGTCATTCATGCTGCTGACAGACACAGGTCGTACCAATTGCTGTTACACATGTAAACAGAATTAACTAAACACTGTACAAAAACAAACAAAATGGTTTAGTCTTTGCCAGGCCTTACCTGAACTTTCATAATGGACTGTGGTTTGAAAGTCCGGATGGGTTCTCCCACCCATTCCAATTTAATCTTGGAGTTAAACATGATAGTGCTAGCCCATCCTGTGCGATTGAGACCTGAATACCAGTCCGTCACATTGACAAAGAAGACTATTTCACTGTCCAAAAGTTTTCCCGTTTCACCTCCACGAGCTGCTATTTTTGAAAGCTGGTCCAAGCTCCACGTAAAGTCAATGCGACCTTCAAACTGAAAGCATAAAGCAGGAAAGAAATGAGGAACTTCAAAATGAACGATCATTACCATGCTGTTATTTGACATTATTAACTGAAGTGAGTTGCTTTCATGTGTGCATCTGTGCTCTTTTTTCTTTAAAAAACAGAATTGAATAAATATAAATTGTACACTATGTCCATTACTGCTAAATGCACATATCACATTTTACATTTATTTATGAAACAAAACCCCAACTTTCTAAGCTTATTTATTTTAAATGTGAATGTAAACAAAGTTATCAGGTAGCGGTGTGTAGTGTTCATATCTTTATAAGCCTTCTGCAAATTTTCTTCTTAAACATTAAATGACAAGCCAAAACACCAGTAGTAAACAATTTTTAAAAAGGCTTGGTATACAGGGAAGCTGAAATTGATTCATTTTTACACTATTTTAGTTGAAAACTTATCGACTTTGCTCAGTATACAGATCACACCAAGGGGTGCACTTCATCAGCTCCACAACCCCTGTGCTTGCTTTTTTCATTGAGGTGCCCTGATCACATTATCTTTAAAACATCTAAAAGTCAAAATGTTGTGATTATGCTTTATGGCACATAATTTACCAAATTTACTCTATATTCTAATAGAATGCACAACTGAGGTGGATTTTCTTTTACAGCATAAATAAGATATAAACACAAAATAATACACATCAAATAGTTGGAACTAAAAATATTGATAAAACCACAATGAAAACAAATCTAATTACTTTTCACCTATCTCAAGCTACCTACGAAAGAGGAACTTTCATAACATATGCTTCTATTTCATGTTTGTTTTCCTCTCTGAAAAGTAAACAAGTCGCACATCAAGAAGTATATTTCAAGTCAATAAAAAGGTACAAAAAAAGTGTAACCATTTCACTCACATATTCAATGAATCTGTACTCATACGCAAAGTACATGTAGTAATCCTTGACAGGGACATGGCGCACAGGGATATACGGAGGTCGCTCAAACACAACTCCTTCCCGGCGGTTGTAGCCATCTCTCCACGGCTTCTCCCAGCCACGGGTGGCGTTCCAAATCTCCTCGCGAGGTCGGAAGAAGGCTGAGATGGAAGCGTTACCAAGACAGGGGCGTCCGCTTGTTTGACTAGAGAGGAGAAACACAACAGAGACCGTAATGTGCAACTAGATTGACTTCTTAAAGTCTGATCCTTTCTAATGGAAACTTCTTTTGAATAAACATAAAGATGACTGGGTTTTTTTTTTCAAAAGCCCTGACTACAAGTAGAAAAATATAAGTAGTTTTCGGACTCAAATTGAGGAAGAAAATAAAACAGTGCCTTGAAATTTGCTGTGCAAAATTTCGCAGCAAGCTCCGGCAAAGTCATGTGTAATTCTTTACCACTGTTCCATCAGTAGAGTACTCTTCAACCCTCGAATGGATGGGGGGGGGGGGCGCGACATTAAAATCCAGCAGAGGGATGTAACCTCACTGAATAGAAGCAAAATACTACTTTTTTCTTAACTTTTTTCATTTGATCAAGTACTCTACCTTGGAAAGGACCTATTTGAGTTTGGTAACAGATTAAAATCATACAAAATGGACAAAAACTCTAGGTATAATACTCATTTCTCAGGAAAAGAAACACCAATTTGATTCATCGTGTACATGTGACCCAGTTGACCCCAACCCTAGTGATTCAATCCATATTTACACTGATGGGTCAGCCTTCAAGGAAACTATTAATGCAGGCTTTGGAGTAAGAACAGAACATCTTGACAAGACGTGTAAAGAACTATTTGATGCCTGTCATACTTCTTGAACAAATTGTGAGGCAGAGACCATCGCCATTGAAGCAGCAATCCTCCACCTGACTAACATGTTCATTATATGTCCAGACAGAAAATCAGTACTCCAAGCTTTGGGAAACATGAATTTCGAACGCCCAGCTTACCTAACTGTGGCTCTAACAATTAACACCTTCATGCAGACCTATGATGTCAGCCTGACTTTAGAGTGGATGCCTGGCCACAGCAACATCCCAGGAAACGACAGAGCAGACAGCCTTGCCAAGCAGGAAGAATCACAAATACAACCTCAAAACCCAGTATCACAACAGACATTCAAAAACATCATCAAATGCAACACCAGGGAACAGTGGATGAAAGGGTAGGCATTGGGCAAAACTGGAAGAGCTGTATTTGCACACATGACTGCTCCGAACTCAAAAGATGCACTAAATTCTCTGAGTAGAAGAGAACAAGTCACTATTTTTCTCCTGCGAACACAACACATCACGCCAAATTCCTATCTAAATAGAACTTGCAAGGATACCCCACCTGACTGCCAGGATGAAACAGTATCACATCATCTCTTTACCTGCCTTGCACTTGGCAACCTGCGAAGCACCTACCTACTTGCCTCCCCAGATATCGGAAATACTTTATACAGCAATAAAACAACTGATAAAAACCTGTAAATTCTTTGCCATACCGACAGGCTGAAGGGCTAGAACCCAGATGACCGCTGAATCGGAAAAGTAAAGTAAAAGTAAAGTATTCATCATGTGCAATGGCTAGCAAATGGCATGACCTATGAAATGAACCAAACTGAAAGTAAATGTTTTACATGCAACAATTTCTCTGTGAGTTTATTGTAAGCTAAACATTATGACCAAGACTTTGTAACTGTTATTGGTGAAATGAAATATTGAGAGTTAGGGGCCCATGAGACTTGGGGGCGCTGAGCGGGCTGAACAGAGTTGCCGCCCCGTGACACTAGGGGCACTAAAACATGGGTATAAAAGCGAGGCGGGAATTCTGTGCGGGCCCCTTCTTTTTCGTCTCAGTACTACTAGAGACTAGAGCGGCTGACGTCGTAGCTGCCGGCAAAGTGACCTCCGAGGGCCCGACGACGTGATCTGAGCCGGCCAGCGCAGGCGAGTCGCCTACATATTGAACCTCACATGTTCTCCTACTCATGAGTTGACGCCAGAGGGTAAGTACAGTGTTTCTACCTCGCAATCACAGTAACTATTATAAACATACTTTGCACCAAAAACCTGGAACAAGCAGCAATTTTTTACATGTTTTTCTGTTTTGTTTTCAGTATTTTTTATGTACTCACTTAGCCAGTACAACACCATGGATCTTGACCGTTGGAGTTTCCATAACGTAGGCAGGCACTGACACATTTACATCAAAACGAGGCTCCCCTGTATAAAGCAAAGCAAATATGACCTTCATTACAAGGGTTTACCGAAAGCTTTGTTCACAATCTTAAACAGTAGCAACACAAGCAAAATCTGGAAATACAATTTTGCATATATCTCTCACAGTCCTATTACTGTACATTTTTTGAACCAAGTAGACCATTTTTCTTCTTTGAATAACATTTAGAAAAACACAAGTTTCTACTCTAGAATCAGCTTGTACAGGAACATGGACAAATAACACACACACTGACAACAATTGCAAATGTCTCAACACAAGAAATTCGATTGTTTAAGAGGTGGGATACTTTAGCTCTGCCAGCAGGGCCAACTAGGCCTAGCGAAATATATCCCTGAGAAACACAGTGATGCTCAGTAACTTCCCAGGTGGGAATTGAACTCATGTCTTTTATATGATTGTATAGATTTAACCACCCTTTCGATCCTGCATTTTCTCTGTGCAAGATAAAAACCCTAACAATTAAATTTAAAACTTAAAAAAAAAAAAGAAACACCACTAAAAATTACAAACATTCATTACTGGTACTATTCAATTCATTTTGTGCTTTCAAAATTTAAAACAAACTGCCTATGTAAGCAAAAACCCTGATACAATAAATGAACTATAATTCCAAATACTTACAAAACTCTTCCACAGTGAAAGGACGCCGGTAAATATGGCCCTGAAAATGAAATTAAAAAAAAAAAACTTTTTGAAAAAGGTCCTCCTTCAATATCAAATAAAGATTGAATATCAGAAAAACACACTGCTTTCAAATATAAACGTTAGGATATCTAGACAAGCATTATTTTCCCGACAAAACCTTTTCACAATCAAGTTCAAGATCAATAAAGATTGCTTGTCCTGAAAGTGATGTGAGCACATCTTGAAGTCACGAGGGTTGCCAAGACAACCCCACAGAGCACAGTGCAAATAAGAAGAAGGACAAAGAAGCAAGAGAAAGAGTTGTGAGAACAATACCTGGAATGTAGTTGCTTGAGGCTAAGCCATTCATTGAATGAGTTGGAAAAGAGAAAGAGGTGAAAGGAGCTAGTTGCCAAGAGATCTATGGTATTCTCAATACTTCGGAATAAATATAAGCATGGAGTATGAGACGCGCCCCAAACCTCACTGTTAAAAAAAAAATTCCATGTTATAATGGTATTCCAACACAACAGTTATATATAAATAACAATATTCTCACTTACAAAGGCATCCACTCGAATATGCCAAACTCCATAGTTAGGTTGGTCCGACAACAGGAAGTTCAAGTTTACAATACCTGGACAAAAGAAAGAGAAAAGAAAAATGTTACTGAACTAATAAACAAAAATTATTCACCAAAAACAAATTTTGCTTTAATCAGCATAACCAATGAAATCCAAATTGTCCTAGTGACAATAAAAAAGAAGTTATTTCAGCAGTATCACGATATAACCCTGGGAAAAGACAATTGCATAGCACTCAGCACAAGAAAATTTCCAATATTGTAACAAAGCAGGTGAAGTCATGTTTCTATCAGTCAAATTGTTCTCATCTTTTCAGTAATAAACCCCTAGCTGTCGTTTGAAAAGAGACTACAAAGTAAAAGTGTATCCAATTCCTGTTGATCATATTCCATAATAATAATATGGCTACACCACTTTTTGGAAAAATGTGTCAATCCTTAATAGACAGTCATAGAACAAACAATGAGAAGCTCACTGTAATATTGTTCGGTTTGTGGGTACAAACAGATATAGAGAGAGTGAAGAAACGCACGTCTAAAAAAGGCTCTTTGTTTTATTTTTGTCTTGTAGTACACTGTAACCGAAAAGTGACTACTGAGTAGAAGAAAGGTACTGTCTAAATCCCGATACGTGACCTAACAGTTATAACAGAAGAGTTATGTAATGTAAATTATTCCACACTCACCTCCAGCATTGGTTTGCACTCCTTGCCATCTGCGTACAGGTATTCCTGTTGGATCCTGAAAGACAAAAAATACTTTTCAAAAATACAATTTCATTTTGACATACATGATGCTGACTATGACCAATATAAGAAACAAGACAAGAGAGGGATACTTTACTTAAAACCAAGACAGTGATTTCTTATCAAAGAAGCTATATTTGCACCATAATGTCCCCAGGGCAAAGACTTTGCTCGTAATATTTCGCAGGACTTAAACAAGAGTTCTCTGTCTTCTTCGTTCTCGAACTGAAAAAGAGTGATTATCAAGAAGGTATTCCTTAATTTTGTCAAATAATGTTTCCATAATTTTACTGTGTATATTTCATCTAAATTTTCAAAATATTTCTGTTTTATCATTACCTTGGTGCAGTTCAAAGATACAATTTCTACTATAAAATATCAAAACTGATTTTGTTCAAGAACCCAAAGTTTTTGCTTCTTCCGGCAAATGTCTCTTAAGAGAATGGTGCACCAAAAGAATCATCTCTATGGTGGAAATACAAACGAATAAATTGGCAAAGCTGTGAATTCATTTGTGCATTTCACACCAAAATTTAAGTTGTTGTGCTAAAGCAAAAGTAACTCACATCCACATAGATGATCATGCTTCCATATTTTGGCATCATGTTGGGAAGGATCGGAACAACTCTGAAGTGAACTGAAAAGAATTCAAAACAAGAAAATTGTGAAAGACAAATTATAAATATATATATCTATTAATCTATTAAAACACAGGGTTAATTTTCTGTACATAGCAGTAGTATATGTTTAGTCTCTTTTACAGTTGTAAAAAAGAGCTAACAGTATCAAGCTGCCTTAATTTTTTTCAGAGAAAAAGAAACAACAACCCAAAACAATTCATCATTTTAATAATGAATCCCAGGAAGAAATAGGTTACTAAAATCAAGTTCCAAATTGACATGAAATGACAGACCGTAAGATACCATTCACTCTCTTAAGAATTGTAAACATTCATAGGTAGAAGAGTCTAATGAGAAGCTAGAGAGAAACAAACAAACTTGAACAGCCAAGTAGAAAATTCAAAGTTCAACTACTGAAACTGACTGAGCATTCAGACCAGATTTATGGCTGTAAACAGGCAGAAGGGTGTAAATATGACTCTTAAAATGCATGCGTAGTATTATGTTTTACCACAAGGTTCATCTGATTACTTATGAAATCCTTCATGGCTATTAAAAAGCGCTTGACCATAGGAGGAAACAAAGCAATTTATAAGGAGGTCATGCTTTTATTGTTGAAATTAAACACCCTGCCTAGAGTCAAGGAGAGGAAATACTCTGGAAAAAAATAAAAAATAATTTGTGCCTTAATGAAACTTGAAACCCCTAACTAGGGGGTGTGCCTTTTATCAAAATCATTCTGGGTTTGTTACTTACACAGTGCAAAGAACAAGTCAGCATCATTGGAACAATTAGTTCAAAAATGTTTCAATGGCGTTCTCTAAACTCACCCATCTGGCCTTGTCGGTACAAAGGCCTGCTCATCTGAAGAAACAGGGAGGCTCGCTTGGAGGAGTAGTGAATATCTGTGGTATTCTGCCAAATGTTACCACTATCCGACTCCCTCAGACGTCCCTCAACGCGAAGTTGATACTTGCCATGTTGGGAACTAGCAGGCATCTGTTGGAATAAACAAGAAGATGAAAAGTTCACAAGATTTTTTTTAAAAGATGTTTTACAATGGGAACTTTTTAGAGGATGTAAGCATTCCAGATTTTGTTTTGATTATTTTTTTTTAGTTGTAGTTTCTAGTGACATAAAATGACAAGAGAACCATTTTCCCTGGAACAGATAAAGATAATAGTAACAGTGAAAGGAAGTAGAGCAAGCAGACTGCCCCATTCAGCCACAAGCATTGACTCATCACAACGATACCCTGCTCTATCAGCACTGACATAGGATAAGGAGCAAGTCACACCCGAGCGCAAAAAAAAAAAGATAATTGTTGTTGAGTGTTGTGTATTCTACTTGCGAACAGTCCAAGAACACCAACAGCATTAAACATTAATAAATGAAACAACTTCTCGGGTTGTGTTCCAGAGTTTAATATAAGACTTAAACTTTACATGACTATGGCTTGTGCTGCCGTAGGCTAGACATCTTTGTTGTTTATCTTCGTACTGTGTGTGTGTGAGTGTGTTACTCTTTTCTTGCTCTCAACGATACCGATATACTGACTATTACAGTACTCGTTTTGGAATACTGAAAGTGGGTACTTATAATGTTACATTATGATTACTCTACTTTACAACATTGAGTTGTAATGAATATTCGGGCAGGAAGATGACAGCATTTGCTAGAAACAGATTAGTCTAATAATACTGGGAGAGATAAAAGTAGAGTGTTAATAATGTATAAACCACCTGCAGAAACAGGCAGAACTCACTGACAAAGCAAAAACAATTTAAACCAAAGTTTAAAAAATGCAAATAAGATTATTACATAGAAAAATCCAGTTTAAGAAGGTTCTTCTTTCTCTTACAAATAAACGCGATCTTGATTTGTTTTTGTTTGTTTGAGTAAAGAGAGGCACATCAACACAAACGGTTAGTTACTGCTCGGGAAAGAGTAAGACAGACAGAAACAACAGAGAAAAAGGAAAGAAGTAGGACCTACGATTGGCACCCTCCAACCACCCACAAACATGATCTCTCATTAATAAAACAAAGTCACATTTTTGTTTTAATGCATGGTCTAAAAACAAACTGTCTTTAAGCCATACTCATACTGTACTGGCTGTTACAGAACTTATATGCACACTTCACTATGACAAGAGAAAAAGGGAACATTCCACTTCATGACTGTAGGCCTACCCTCTGATTTTGACACAAGAGTCTGATTCTAGGGTCATGGAACTGGTTTTAGAAATGCCTGGGGCGATGTGACCACTGATAAAAGACAAATCAAATACAAATGCAAACACAGGTGTGAATGCCCCTTACAGAATGTATACCAGAACATATTAGAAACTTTTGAAATTAGCAAAATCATTCCTTCTACAACCATTTTAAAAATCAAATAAACACATAAAAGCTTGTGACTGAATTAGAGCAATAAGACCAGAAGTATGAATAAGATGAAGAATAAAGAAAGGCAGTATTGAACATGACTGTGAGACAGACACGTCCATCTGCAGGAGAAGTGTGAAAGTGCTGACTACTGTGTGTGGCTCAATGTGTACAAGCTCTATGTTCTCATTATAAAAGAAACATGCTTAATTTTGTTGACATACAACCTCATCCGAAATACAGTCTTAAAAAGTTTAGCTCTGGGCAGCCAAATGCCGACTGCTATTACCATCCTCCTAAGCAGATCTGATAAGCTATTTATAGCACAGGAAAACTCTGCCCCACTTGTGCAACGGCCTAATCTTTTCGTAAACAAGGTACTTTGGCAATCTTTCACAAACAACCACACTTATTACACTCACCTGCAACTGCAAAATTCTGCTTGAAGGTCGCTCAAAGCGCAAAGCACTATTGGCAAACTCAACATTGTCCTTGATAATGGACACATGTACATAGACTGCATCCTGCCCATACTCCATTTTCAAGATTGAGACAAAGACATGAAAGACCTGGTTTGATCTGATGCGGTTTGGTGCAATGATCAGGTACTGCCTGCAATTTTCAAACAAATAAATGAAAGAGTAAGTGTACAAAATTTTAGTGAACAAAACTGGACTGTGTCCAGACTATAGAAAGAAATATACACATACATCATAATGTTCATATACTGTATTGATAGCTAAACCGTAATCCATTACCATAAATATCACAATGATTCTAGGCAGATATTGTCATCTATCTTCAGGAAAAATTGTTACAGTACCATCAGTAGCAACTTTCAAATGACTTTCCTCTTCAACATGTTTAACAACTCTTTTCAATATTTAATATATATGAAGTTTACTACTAACATCTGGCACCCATAAAACCCCCCAAAATTAACCTGTAACCCAGCAATGAGAGACTTTATAAAGTTAAGTATCATTTATTTTTAAAAAAATTCATCTACAATTTCAAAATGATATAAAGTACACAGCATGTGTAATCCATACGTCTGCACTCTCTTGAAATAATAACTACAATTGCGAAAAAAAAAAAAAAAAGAAAAACAATTTTGGACATTATTTCGTGCACATTATCTAAGACTCCCATTTGACTTACGGGGCTCTTGCATAGGAACATCCTGAAGATGAATCCATCAAACAGTTCTCTTCCTGCCCTGTGTTCTGAGAGGCTGCCAGGGTGAGCAGCAATGCTGCACCCAGTAAAGACAGAAGCCACATCTTCAGAAGCTGTGAAAAATACACGAGTTAGAACAATAACTTAATGTGGTGCTCAGACTAAAGGGAAAATATTGAGCCAATTTGGAGGGAGAAGGGGTTTTTCCTATTCATAAGAGATTGCATTAGCAGTAATGCTTCATGCACCCTGCGATCTGACCGGACTCTGGGACTGTCAACTCCAGGACCGGGTGAGTTTCACTGGACGTTCCCATCGTCCACTCGGGGTTATAGAGTTAAATTTACTTTAACAAGGTGCATTATGTTAATACATTTCAGTATCTTAGACAGTTATATAACTTCTTTTAAACACAAATGGGACCATTTCTTCAAAATGTTTTGAGTCCAACACTCTCACGCTGCAAACTGAATTAACCTGAAATGATGCTTGTCTAGAGGTAGGAATTGTCACACATTCTGTCCAATAAATCTCAGTAAGAGGCAATATTGTCACCGTCGTTCATTGCTTTTATTCTTTTATATCGAAAAATTTGTGAATGTAACCCTCAAAGAAACTGAAGTTAGTGGCTTTACATAAAGGTGAGCAGTGCATATTCGTACGTGACACGACTGTGTCAAATCCAGATTTGTAAACACCTTCTGACAATTGCATTTGCACCGCTCAATGGCCTATCAACTTTGCACCAGCAGTCCCTGCATTGAAAGGAATAGGACTGACATGGTGCTAGCATGTCGTTTGAGGCGACTAAATGGCGAACCAGGCTGTGACTCCCAAAACAGAGTCATCCTGCCTTCATGTCGGGGGTTGAGCCACAAGGCTAACAAATGACCTCTCTCGTAAAAAGAACCTGTTACAGAAGCAATACAAGCAAAACCATTATCTCTGCTTGGCTGGTTGTGGATATTCTCCAAATAGTGAGTTTATGATGCGAGGCAGTGAAAGCCGAAAGGAAACTGCTGAGCAAAAGCCTCCACCATCATCCAAGTCTTCTCGTATTGAATCATGGAATGTTAGGACCCATTGTGAGACTGGAAAAACTGCACAGAAGCACAGTGGAAAAATCTCAAGACAGTCATTGTAACGATGAGGCAGGGATCGATAGGTTATGGGAAATATGGAGGAGACGCGAGGAAAGGGACATGAGAGAGATGAAGCTCACTTGGAATGAGCTTGGAAGGACGGCCCAGGACAGAGATAAATGTGGCCTATACCCTGCCAAGGGCGAAAGGCATTGATGATGATGATGATGATGATGATGATGATAAACCAAATCTTTAAAAATGTATACCTAAAAAGAACTTGAGATGCCAGCATGTTTATCAGGTATTGTTCAAATGTACGATTAGTTCGGGTTGGGTCCAGTTGGATATAATGCAAACCATATGAGGGTAGATATGGCTGCTCTCAACTATAACAAACAGCAATTAGAAGAAATTTTCTGCAATTATTTGTGCACTGGGTATTAAAGTAAAATTGTATGTGTAATGTGTCACGACACTGTGGAATCAGATTTTTTGGCATGTGGAGCTATATTGGTATCATCTTAAAGTTTGTTAATTTAAGTTTTTTAAATGGACATAAAAAGCACAAAATGTTGAGCAACAAAAGTAAATAAATCGATAAACATTGCCCGAAGAATGGCAAAATGTTGATTACTTTGATTTCCTTATTATTTTGATGAGTGCCTCATTTCACCAAGATGCCATATCATTGTAATTTTGATTCTCCTCAGGCACAAATTCAACATGTCTCCAACCCTCAGAAGGACCACGACAGCAATAGTCTTGTGAGATATTGGCATGACAAATGAAAAGGCAATATATTTTACAGTGTTGGCCTCAGTGTATCACAAATCTAAAGAAAAAGGTAAAATAAGATGTGATCTATCCACAAAAGACCTTTCCTGGCTTCTCAATTTGCCGCCATCCCCCATCGCCAAGTGCATCGCCCTTCCCCTGAAAACTTGTTTTTGATGCTTTTAATTTCTAATTAAGCTATCATAATCAACAGAAAGATTGAGGGTGTTGATGACTCCAAGTACAAATTGAAATCAATTTCATTTTTTGCTTCCTAGAGTCTTAGAGGAGCAAAGTAAATGATCCATTCACATTGATAAACTGCTGGGTTTTGATTTGAAACAATGATTTGTGAAAGGAAAGAAAAAGCTTGATCTTTGGGGCGCTATACTTGACTTGTGCCTTCACACTCACCCTTTCCACAAACATGTACTATTATTAAGCCTATTACTATTAACTATTAGACATAATTAGATCTAGATCTATCACCTTTTCAATGAAAAACAATATCTACTGCTATATTAATGTCAATATTATCAATAGTCAATTCAGGCCCTCCAATTCAACCTTTCTTTAAATGACAAACGTTTACTGTAACTTGAGACTCCTGATAAAAAGGCTTGTACTTAGTTTGCTTTGAATTCTTTGCTTAAAAGATACCGGGAGCTAAAAAGGTTTATTCTTCTTCATTTCCTGGTTTGTCAACGTGCCGCCATTTTGTAAGGTGAAACATTGTCAACGCTCAGGTAGCTCTGGTCATAAATGGGAAAAAAGTGATCAAAGTTGATTAAAGTAGCTAGTTTCCCAATCAGAAAAGTTTTTGTACATGTCTCGCTCAATTTAAAACGATCTTGGGCTCCTTACAATTTCAGAAAACTTATCGAAACTGATAACAGAGCTCTTTATCTCTCTCACCTGTGACCCACTTGTTTCGAATACCTGTGTTTCCGCATTAGATTCTAGTCTACCTTAGCGTCAAGTTCAAGGACGAAATGTGACGGTCCCCTAGCTTTGTGACAAAATACTCACTGTCGCGTATATACATGACTCAAGATGGAATTTAAATTTAGTCTGAATATACTTTCTCCTGTTTTGCAGTTTTTGAAAAAAAAACAACCCATATATTTTTCAACAATCCTAAATGTCCCCAGCCCAAGAAGAAGAAGAAGAAGAAGAAGAAGAAGAAGAAGAACAACAACAACAACAACAACAACAACAACAACAACAACAACAACAACAGCAGCAGCAGCAGCAGCAGCAGCAGCAGCAGCAGCAGCAACAACAGCAGCAGCAGCAGAAACAACGACAGTAAAAAGAAGAATTATTAAGAAGGAGAAGCAGAACATGAATAAACAATATCGATTGACAACGACAACAACAACAACAACAACAACAACAACAACAACAACAACAACAACAGCAGAGGCAGCAGCAGCAGCAGCAGCAGCAGCAGCAGCAGCAGCAGCAGCAGCAGCAGCAGCAGCAGCAGCAGCAGCAGCGGCGGCAGCAGCAGCAGCAGCAGCAGCAAAAATGTTAAGAAAATGAACATCACCAACAGCAGTAATGAACAGAACTGCAGTAGCAAAAAACAACAAACAGAAATTAGAAGTAGGCAAGGAGGTTTTAACATAGGCCTTGGGTTTGGGAATAGGGCATGATAAGGATGAGCGTCGTGGAGAAGAAGAGAAGGGTGAAGAAAAGAAACGAGGAAGGAGGGTGTGGGTGGGGATGATTCATAGTGCATTTGTACTGCTAGACTTCACACCCCCCCCCCCCCCCCCCAGAAAAATTGAATGTTCATTATCATCCAGTGCCAGATCTGCGACAGACATCGGCGATCATGGTTCTCCATTGCATTCCTTTGCTCGGATGCTCTAAAAAAAAAAGCTATGTTTCCCTGATCGTTTCCTGTTACCCATTTGTTTAGGTTCCCTAAAAGTATGTTGTTCTGGGCCTACCCCTGCCTCGCTTGCCCTCAATTTTGCCAGTGAGAGCTAGATGTTCAAGACCCTTATGTCTATTCAGAATTCAGGTGTCCCAAAATCTGCACTTGTCGTTTCCTGGTTGTTTTTAACATTGTGAAGAAGAAGAAGAAGAAGTGAGGAATGTTCATACTTTTTTATATTTAAAAAGATACATCGAGGGAGCAACTTAATCACTGTCCTATGATCAGAGAGTCGGAAAAATAAAGAAAAACAAATCGCAAATAGCAGTTGACGGTAATAAAAAACAGCAACAACAAAACGCGCAGATAGATAGATAGATAGACAGATAGACAGATAGATAGACAGACAGACCGACCGACCGACAGACAGACAGACAGACAGACAGATAGATAGATAGATAGATAGATAGATAGATAGATAGATAGATAGATAGATAGATATATAGATTTTAGACGGTGCCGCTCCGCTTAACGGTTTATCAGGATCCACAGAATTCTACACTAAGTGTAGAATTCTGTGTCAGGATCATACTATTTAATCTACAATATTATAGTTCATATTAGATCTAGCGTTCCAGTCAAGAATCATAATACATGTGTTGCTAAATCTATCTCCAATCTATACTACAGTTGTTGTTACTGTTGTTTTCGTTGCTGTCGATGCTGACGCTGATGAGTTATCTTTTAGTTGGCCTCGGCCTAGGAGCTTAGAACTACTTTTAATATCCTTGGCCTCGGCCTATGTAATGTATAATACGATAAGTTTTCAGTCCGAGTCAAAGGGATTTTTTTTCGCACCACCGGTGCCTGGAAGTTCGTAATTCTATACTGCTCGAAACCACTTTCCACATCTGGGAGTAAAGCAGCAACGCAAAACAATACGCTTTGTAAGAGACCAAAAGAGGGCCTAACAATAATTGTTACAATGCTTCGACAGGCGCGCTCTCCAAGTGGTTGGTCGAGTTTTGCAGGTCGACCGCAAACACAAAAAATATTTACATTGTTCGAAAAACTCTTTGGGGTGAAGCACTTTTAGGTGAGCTCTAGGTAGGCTAACTTATCACATGCATGACTCATTTATTCTGAGTGTATTGTTGTCGTTTCCGACAAACTAAAAATATCATGATTTTATTATCCAAGACCGACAACTGAATGTAGTTATTATCATCTCCGTCTTCGGACTTTCTGTTGCCTACAGTGGAAACCATATATATAACAGGTCCGGTAATAACAGGGATCCGGTCCGGTAATAACAGGGATTTCTATTTTTTCCTACTCTTTGTCTCTATTAAAAGTTTTCAGCAATAAC